GGGAACCATCTAAGCACCAAGGATCCTTCCACCTCTGATCTTTTCTTCTTCCTTCGGTTGTTAATTGTTCTAGATTTGCTCAAGGCTGCTTTTGTTATGTTTCGCCTCTCCAATATTCCTTGGTTTTCCTCCAAAGATTCCTCTATTTGCCTATACTCCTCAAGGAGAGCACAAATCTGTCCCCAAATCATCTCCAGCTTTTTTGCTACTTTGAACCCCTGTCTTTACTAAACCTTCTTGAGATTCATACTTTTCTATCAATTCCTCTTTTTTCTTGTACTATTCCAAATACACACAGATCTGATTCCATATCTTCTCTAACTCCACTTCCTGGATTTTCCTTTTCCACACCTCTTCCTCTTGTTCTTTACCTTCCTATCCCCAATTAAATACTCTCCATCCATGGCTGATGCTTCAAGATGGTTGCTAAGGTACCTATTCTAGGCATAGAACCCACTCAGTACCAAAAAACGAATTGACAAGATTACACAAAAGTTTGTGGGAAGTGAGCGATGACGCTGAAAAACCAATAAGAGGGGGCAAAGTCATGGCTAATCCTTCCAAATGAGGTGATTGTGGGTTCCCATTGTGTTCAACCAATGTTGTATTAGTCCTTGCAACAGAATCTTCCTTTAGGAGTTGTCCCCTGATTGATGACTCTATGATCGGTGACCGAGATGTGTCTTGTTCCTCTAATCTTCTATCAATGCCGGGCTGCCCTAGCAAACTAGGAGAAGATTTGGGAACCGGTATCCCCTGCCTCTCCTCTATAAGAATTGTGGTATTCTCCGCTTCCTTAGGTAAAGAAAGAGTTTGCGAGGGCTTCTTCTGGACTAAATCTGTAAGTTCCATGTCATCATTTTCCAAAGATAAAAGCTCAGTGGGGAAGCTCTCATCAACACTAAGTGATTTGGTTTTTATAAAGTCCACACTTCCAACACTTGAGGAGTCTTCAAAATCTGATTTCGAACTACTTTCTTCCTCCGTCACACGGCCTTAAAAAGTGAAGGGATGAGAGATCCATCATATGGATGGCCGAACTCTGCAGGAAGGTAGGGCAAATTTTCAAAAAATTCTCTCTCTTCCATCTGGGAATCACATTCCCTATTTTAGAAAAACTGCATTTTTCAATGATCAATCTTGAACCAAGAACCGAACCAGATCTGAACCAAAACAGTAGGAGAGGGATATACCTGATACGAAGATGCAATATCTCCAAACGAAGGTGTTCACGCCCAAAGGAAGACTCCAAAGACTGCTCCCGCTGAAAATGACACAGCGTATGGTGGAGCAGAATCAACAGGGTCCGTCCAACGAACCGAATTCTTCAGCAAGAATCCAATGGAGGAAGTGAGCACGACTACGACTTCTGATCAGCCTTTCTCCAAAGACTGATATCAAGACACTTCTTGATCGCTCCTACAAAGGATGGAGATCGAACTGGCTGTGGCGACAACTGGAGGAAATCGCAGAGAGAAGATGGCGCAGTCACACTGTTGTTGTCTTCCTCTGGGTGCTCTGAGATCTGATCTCTGAGATTTCTAGGATGATCTGAATGGTTCACCCCCTCCTCCTTTTATAGCCTTAAAGAGAGCTCATAATCTCATTAGGAGTTTCTTAATCCAAATATGTATTTGGATAAGGAGTTCTCTTTAAGAGATAAGGATAAGCTCTTATCTTATCTGTAGATTAGATCAGTTCTCTCCTAATCTCATTAGGAGGTTTCTAGATCTGAATTCAGACCTGGACTCTCTGAGTGGATAGGGTAAGACCCTATCCTATCTGTTGATTCAATCCCAGATCCGCCCCTTTATTTAACTAATCAAATTAGGCCAATTCGAAGTGGGCTTTAGGCCCAATAAGTCTAAGTGCTCAAACTGCTTCCAAACTGCTACTCAGTTGGGCTTCTTTGTATGGCGTGGGACCCAAACATTGATCTACACATCAGCCACATGGTTTCGGCCTAGCCTCTATTACAAGGCCTGGCCGAATTCACTGAAAAGACAGTGAACCCCCTAAAGCCCATCACATGGACTCCTAATGGGCCCAACACTTACACTAAGTGGTCCCTGGGCCAAGCCACCTTCTAAAAACCCAAGAACTGTGGGCAGATGCAAGATTAGCCCATCAGGTATTACCCTCAATGGTCTTACACTTAACCTCTCAGCCCATAATGATCATACACTGCCCGACAAGAGAGGACCTCTCCCTCGGCTGTAAGGAACAATGTTGCACTCTCTACTCACATGGGTCCCGGGAATTAAAACCTTTTGCAAACAATTTGAAACCATAATATATATATATATATATATTTATATCCATATATAAAATATATTTTGCAAAACAAATTTCAACGATTGAAATCGACTGTCGGCGGTCTTGGTTTCCATCAGGTAGAGTGCATCCCCAATCATTACCTTTGTCCGACAAAGGGGTTGATCCTGTCACTATGATCACTCACTCAGATAATTGGCACATCAAAGACAACCCAATCCGACACCTAGTGCAGTATTATAATCGAGTCTAGGGGTCAGGTGTAAATTTTCAGTTTTGCCCACTAATCACCAAGTCTGGTCTGATTCAGGGTTTCAAGTAAACCTACACTGCATGAACCTCGGGTCTCACCCTGGCAACTGAGACAAGCCACCCCAACACTTGGCGGTACAACAGTGTCAGCCTTAGTAGGATAAATCTCCCCAGACTTATCTAACGGCTGTGACATTCTAAACTAACACGAGTCTCATAAGTGTCCAGTTTAAGGGTATTCCACAGAAACACACCACTATAACATGAATCAAATATGTACTTTATTCATTTACAATAAATGTCATAATGTACATCAATCTGATTGGAGCTAAGGGCATACACTGTCTAACAAAAAGGGTCCATAACATTCTAATTTTCCGTCTCCGGAATGAAGGAACACCCTGTCTCCACTGTCATCGGGTGCTTCTTAAACCTTGGATTGCGCCATTCCAAGTAGTTGACCTTTTTCTTATAGCTTGGAACCCATTCCCAGTTCGGATTTTCTGCTCCATTGAGGCTGAAATTTTTTCCTGCAAGCGGTGGTTGGCTTGTCTTGCTCAAAGGGGACAATGATAGGCCATCTTTTGCATCCATCATCTCCCCTCTTCCCTTGGTCACGTGCCCACTTAAAGAGGCACGTGGCTTATTAAGGCTTGGGTCCACCCCTTTTAAAACAGTTGGCCCAGTCATAACTAAAGGCTTGTTGTTTTCAGATGGGTCTGGGCCCAGTCCCCAACCTCTTTAAAAGTCATGTGTTCACTTAAAGATTCACGTGATTGGCCTCGGTTCACTGAACCAAACTGAACCGGCTCACAAGAATGGTTTGAAACCTGAACTCTAACCAACCTTTGCTCAGCTCCTTTTGAATTTTGAACTTCTTGTGTGCTTGTCTCCTTTTAAGCCTCCTGTCACCGTCTAAACATAGGATCTGCCACCTCTCTGCCAATCATGCCATGCAGACTTTCCCCAATTCTTAATGTTATTCTCTTTTTTCTTGGTTTCCTCAGTTGACTTAGCCTCTTTTGTAGTAACTGCTCTGCCCTGCAACCCACATAAATAGGCCTATTTTGTCCCTTCATCCCTCCTTCCATAGTTGAGCTTCAATGGAAGTAACAAGCCAAGCAAGGTGTGCTAAACCATCAGAAACAACCTCTATCTTCCTTCGAATGTCACTGAGTTTAACTCCGCCTAGATTCAATGCAACTGAATGAAGATCAAAATCAAAGACACCATCTAGTCTTGCATCACAGGTTATAGCTATTGACTGCAATACTTCCTCCTTCCAAAGATTGAAAGGCAACCCAAGCAGTCGGACTGTTACATTATCCTCAATCTCAAAACTTTTAGTGTTGGAGAGAGGATACCATTTTGAGACTATGAAAGCCCCTTCTGAATGAATATTTAAAGCTCAAATATCTACTTCAACTTCACCCAGATCGATTAGAGCTTTACAAGATTCATGAGGTCTAATCACAATCGGCTTTGGCAGGTTCAATTCTTTGAGTCCTGCACAATACCCCTCCAATCCTTTGGTGGGCTTGAAGTTTCCACCACAAATTTCTTCCCCCAATCCTCCTTTCCTCCTGTTGCAACCAATTTACAGTTTCTTCTTCCTTTTTCTGCAACCATCCATTTCCTATCATTGGATTCTTCCTCTCTCTTTTGTTTACCCACTTTCTTTTCCTTTGCTACAGCTTCTATTTGTACTGTTTTCAGCTGTTGAGAAAAGTCACTCAGTAACTCTGCCACTACCTTCCATCCATGACCCCTTCTACCTTCTAGGAAGCAAACTAACTGCTTCTTTCTTCTTCCTGCAGAGTTATGTAGCATCTTTTTGCATTCTTTTTACATTCCAGCTCATATCTCTTTCTTCCATCTAAGTTGAACTCCATTAAGTTCACGTGTTTACCTTTACAACTTTCTCCCAAAACAAACTTCTGCATCCAATCGGTCACTTCAAGACCTTCCAGCGGTATTGTGGCTTTCTTTGTCTCCCTAATCTTCAAGCTTTGCAGACCTCTGATCCTTATCTCTTCAAAAATAAAACCTTTTGCTTCAATTTTCATCGCTTTCCTCCATCTTGCAGCTTCTACGAACCTTTCCTCGTCGCTTTCCTCCCACTGTGCATGCTGGACTAACTAATGATGTTGAGAGCTCTCATAAAGATTCAATAAACTGAAAGACTCACAAAGATATGAAACATATGCAGGTGAGTGCATATTTTGCTAAATTTACATAAATGCAAATCTGGATAAAGATATGAGAACATAATAAGACCATACCATATTACAACCTAGGTGTCAATATCAAAGGCCCCTTGAAACATAGAAAAAAGTATACTTCTTAGATCTTCTTTACTTATATGCAACTAACTTCATGTACTAACCCAATTTAAATTAAGTTGAGGTACTTCTAGAGGAAATAATAAATAAACTGGAGAAAATTGCTGATTGAAAGAAAATTTAAATGCTTACCTCTTTGAACTCATTGAATGAAAAGACCTCAGCCATATCCTTCCGAGTTACAGCCTCCTGCCATTGTGCACATAGCATAGGACAATGATGCCTACATAATCCTTATTAACTCAGTATAGGTTTATATTGCAACTAAACTTAAGAAAGAATCAAGTTCTACAGTTTGCTTGCCTGATGTCACTTAGTAGCTCCCCTGCTTTCATGGTGTAACTTTGGAGAGGGATAAGAGATGAAAGATCAGAGTCCGTCTCCTTTTGTGAAATAAAATTTGATAAACTGGGATCCCCATCATCAGAGACAGTACCATAGCTCATCACAAGATAGAAGAGTATCCGTGAACCAACTTCAGATGCAAGTTGTGGCATCTGGAAGAACCCACCAACCAGAGCATTGATCCATTCTACTTCATCACTTAGGATCTTCTTCTGTAGTTCATTTTCCTTGTCCCCATGTCCAATATGCACAATTACTAAATCAAAATCACCTCTCTCCATGGTCTTTCCTTCTTCAAATCCAAGCAATTTGAGTAACTTAGAGGAGAGGATATTTTGAGGGGTATTATTGAGGGAAATATTGTCATCAATCAACTCATCAAATTGTAAAGCAGTGAAACCAAGGTTTCTTCCAAAGGATCTCACTCTTGCATTGGTTGTGAAAATAGCAGCTTTCATCCCCATAAACCTGAATTTTCATAAAGAAGCTTATTTCTTTGTACAGTCTATAAAATAGTAAACCCAAATAGAGCCATGATCAACTGATAGCACCAATAATACAAAAATTGATATCAATTTTACTTCTATATTTTTTTGGTACTTATTTTACTTCTATATATACCAAAATAAAAAATCAAGTTTACCTCTCTGATATTGTTGGTATCAAAGGCTTATTCTGATTTTCAAAAGTGGCAGCATTCCCTCCCTTCTGAAAAGTCATGTAAATCAGCTATCGTATTCAGGCACTGGTATTGATTCATATAGTACTAAGCTATGGAACTTACACTCCCAATAAAAGCATTGTGGGCATCCAGCAGTTGTGCCAACTCCCAAACCACTCTCTCATCATCGCTTTCTGCAATACGAGTTCAGGTGAATCCCAAAATGGCGGATAAACCATCAAGCAAATGTGACATTTGGCATCCTAGAAACAAAATATAACAAATCTTCTATTCAACTTTTAAGCACTAGATCCAAGAGCTGATTAAGATACTCACAATCACGACATTCCAACCTGTATCTAAATTATGATAATTGTCACAAGCATGAACAAATTGATAAATAATAGCATGTTTCTTCAAAATCATTAACCACAAGAAGTTTTTCAATGACTATGAGAGGAAAAAAGGAAGAAATAAATGACCCTAAATCCCCATCAAAAGCACCAGGGGAGCAAAGTTTACAAGCAAGCGAATAGGTTTTAATCTTCTAAGGAAATGATTTTCCAAAAATTCAAGCTCCAAAAATTCAGCTATAGACTACATGATTAATGAATTAATAAAACCCACTAGAGCAGGTAATGAGCTTTAATGGAATTTTGGAATACACAATCATCACTGTATACAGAAAGAGGGAACGGGGGGAGATGGTGAACGGGTGAGGAACACATGCGGACGAACCTGTACGAGGGTAGTCTTTGAGGGCTAAAAAGCCGCATGAGCCACGAGAGGCCAGAGAGTGGAGATGGGCGTGTGAAGGAGAAACAATACCAGCCAATCCGTCACCATACACCACCAAACCTCGGCTAGGCTTGTCGGCCATTTCACACTGCAAATAAAGATTACGGAATGAGAGAGAGAGAGACTATAATGTTTGGTTCCGTGCCTGATGGGGCGTTTTCTCAATAAACGCCACTTTAAACATTTATTCATTTGGCTGTTTGATTGGGTGTTTAACGGTCCATAAAGTCACTCGCCACATCAGCACAAATAAACGTTTTTTGCTGAACGGTTGTTTAGTGGGGTATTTAAAGAGACAACAGGTAGCACGATTCAGTATAATATTTTTTCTTAGTGTTTAAGTGCAATGGAATTGATCTAATAGTCCTAATTATTCATACTTGAAACCAATGCATGATTTTTTAGATCCAACAGTGGATCTTGCATAAAAAGCAGATCTAATGGCTGAAATTATTGTTGACCTGGTTTTGTTATCCATGCAACTTGTTTTCTCATGTTTTCATTTTTGACAAGTAAAACAAAAATCATTAAAGAATAAAAAAGTTACAAAAGAGAGTGACAAGTCATCACAACTTCCAAAATAAAGAACAAGCTCCAGATTACAAATCTGATAATGCAGGAACTCTCCTAAACTATTTCCAGAATCCTCCTCTAGCAGACTGAATTCTGGAAGTATCAGCAACCATTCTAACACTGATCTGCCCTCAGCCGCGACCATCTTGTCCATGCTGCAAGCTTTGTTTTCAAAAGTCCTACTGCTCCTCTCCTTCCAAATGCTCCTGCAAATTGCATATGGGATACAGTTCCATACCCCCTAACAAAAAACTGCACCAGCTCGGCCCACTCTCCTCTATTTGACCCCCAAATCTTGTTCTCTAACCTTAGATCAAAAGACTCCAACTTTGTATCTTGCAGTAGTACAACATCTGGACTGTATTTTCTCAAAAGATTTTTAACCACTTCTCACCTCTTCCCAACTCTCAATCCCGTCATATTTCATGATAAAAGCTTCACTTTCCTCACCTTCCCTTCCCCCTACAACAGCCCTTCTATTCCTCTTCCACCGGACCTACTAATCTCCCATCCCCCTCTTCCCCCTCCTTCAGAAATTCCCCAGCCAACCCTTTTTTCTAGCTCCTCCCTTCTAGACCTTTCGTACCGATCAATAGCCTTCCCCACCACCTCCTCTCCTCCCAGGAAAAACAGACCTAAGGTTCTGCCTACTTCAATCTGTCTTTCAGCCAACTCTTCTATGCCCACCTTCCTTCTCCTCTCCCCACTGTTGACTCCTGCCTTTCTTCCACCTCTTCGTTTTCTTCCTGTTTCCAATCTGCCTCACCCCTTGAATCCTTCTCCCTTGTTTCACCCTTTCCCGACTTGTCTTCCCACTTTTCTTGATTATTTTCTTCCTGTTATAGGCTTTATTTTTCTCCTCCACCCCTCTCTTTCTTTTTGTGTCGGATTTCCTAACCCCTGAATCAGAGGCTGTCTTCCCTTCCCCTTCTATTTCAGCTTCAGAGTTTCCCTTCAATCTGTCTTTCTCATGATTTCATGAAAGTCCCATGCCCAATCCTTCTGAACTTTTCACCAATGTTTGTGTAAAAGATTTTGAACTTTTCACCATTCTTAGATGGGTTTATAAGAGACTTTTTTTGAATAATAATAATTGTTTACATTTTTACAGATGAAATATATTGGAAATAATGATTATTATACAAATGAACTAGTAATGATGTTTACTGGTATGCATTAATTACAGAAGAGAAGAATTAAGACTGACTTGGCTCCCCTTGTGCAGGCATTTGGAGTAGATAGGAAGTCAAGGTCGTTCTTCCCTAAAAGGAATCCAAGCTTCAACTTTCAACTTCCAACTTTCAAGGACAATTTATTAGCTTTCCCCTGTAATTTCCTAAAAAAAAGCAACCTCTAAATGATAACAGTCATAGCTGGGCTGAATCAAATGGGCTCCTTTTAGAGTATTCTGGTATTGATTTTTTTTTTTTTTTTTGAATTCTGCCTCAGGCTACGCAAGAATTACAATAGAGAATACACCATTCCCAAATTTGATTCAAAGCACAAAATAATCTGATTATTATTATCCTTCAATTACTTTCTTCATACCCTGCTCATGCATATACAACATCTAAAACCTGTTATACTAATGTGAGAATAAAATGCTTTTCTTCATTACCTGTTTACAGAGATGTCCTCCAAGAACAAAAATAGTCCATCATTAACAGTAAAACCTAATCAGTAGTGAGATTACTTTTGCGTCAAAACAAAAGCTTTAGGTATTTGAGAGATTCTTGATTATATGGCAAGGTGTAAGAGATTGCAGCAGTTTCTATAGTCAAAAATGATAGATAGACAAGCTTTTCCTTATTGTGAATTTAAGAAATCGGAAAGGTCTTCCACTAACTCCAGTAGCCTCCACAGAGACAGTCATGGCAGAAAACCAAGAAACCTTGGTTGCTGACTGCTATGAGGTTAGAGACAACACTTGCCTTTGGGGCCCTTCTTTCAGAAGGCATTTCCAGGACTGGGAACTAGATCAAGTTTCAGGGCTGTTGGAGAAGTTATCTAATCAGTCTCTGGAATTATCAAAAGAAGGTTCTTGGGTTTGGTCATGGAGCACAGATGGTCTGTTACTTCGTTTGCCAGGATCCTTTCAACTGATAAATTTGCTGATTTCCCTGCTGATAAAGTCTGGAACCAGACTGTCCCTTTAAAGCTCAATGCTTTGATCTGGGCTGTGGCTCTGGATAAGTGTGTTACCAAGAAAAATCTGGAGAGGAGAGGTATGCAGCTGCAGGATTCTACTTGTGTGTTCTGTAATCAAGGGGAGGAGGACAGCAGCCACCTATTTCTGCATTGTCCTATCTCCAATAAAATCTGGAACCACTTCTTCTCCTCTAGGCAGCTATCATGGGTGGAAAAACTAATCTCTTGGAATGCTGTTGCTTTAGGGGTTCAACCAAGGGTATTGAGAGCCCAGCTGAACACTGGCAGTTTCTAATTGTATTGTTTTTTGGCTTCTTGGTCCCCAGATTTATGGTTTCGGGGCCTCTTGTATTATGTAATTTGGTTCTATTCTAATGAAATTCACTTTACTTTCTTCAAAAAAAAAGCATGTATTGATGAATTTAAGATGGAGAGACAGTCCAAAAGCCTATAAATAGCTGCTTTTCTAACTCTAGTAGCCTCCAGAGTCCAAGGCCATGCTTAGATTAATCTTCTATACCCATATCCAGCCCCTTCCACAGCCTTCAGATTTACCAGATTTATCTGCACAGATAAAAAGTTATAAAAAAAAAAAAGAATTTCTCACCTTATAAATCAAACATTAACCTTTCAAAGCCCAAATAGGCTCTCCATCATTTATTTTTTTCCACTGTCTAATTTGAAAGGATAGTATATGGTGTCATGCTCAAATAGAGATTACTCATGAAGAAGTTCCAAAACAAAATAGGGGAGGACTGGTTGTCAAATCACGGACTTCTTCAAACTACTGAGAAAGAAATATAGACTATTAGGTAAATTTGGAATAGCAGAAATATGGATGTTTTTGAAAATCTACATGCTAGATCAGAGAAGTTGATTTCACAAGTACATATCTATAATTCTCTTTTTGAAAACCTACATGCAAGAGCAGCATGTGGTTCTGTTTTGTTCACTTCACCTCTATGCTAGCTGCAACAGATCAATGTATTGCTACAATGATCTGAGAATTATTAGTGGATGCCATACTGGACTTGCCAAGGTAGCTTGAGGATGTATGATAATATTTGAGACAAAGATTTATTAGTGGCACTCACCTACCCATCACTAGCCAAGTTTTGGCACTAACATACATCTTCACAAGATTTATTAGTGGCCATACTGGACTTGTGCTTCCAGTTTCAGATATTCTGTTATTTTTTTCTTGTTTCTTGGCATTCTTTTACTGCAGTCTTGTACCATTGTAGCTTATTATTTCTACCAATTGTGTTAACAATGGTGTCCCTAAGCAATCCTTGTACAAAGTATGTTCTAGTTAACCAAAAAATCATTGGAGACTTGGAAGAAATCCACTGTAACTCTTACAAAGTATGTTCTGGTTAACCCATTAATCTTATTTGAATGAGTGACATTTGCAAAATACCCTTTTCCTTGTGTTCCATGGTCAAATCAAAGTCTTTAAAAAGTCCCACCAACTCTCATTCACACATTCGGAGTAGAATGACTTCTTTTGTCCCTCTCTCTATCTCCTTCTTTATCACTTCTCTACGCCCTCGACAACATCTCCTTGGCATTCCTCTGTCTCTTTTTTCTCGTTCTATTAGACAATGTATGCCCTCATCTCCAATCAGATTGATGTACATTTTGACATTTATTATAAAGGAATAAAGTACATAATTGATTCATGTTATATCTGGTGTATTTCTATGTATTACCCTTAAACTAGACATTAATGAGACTCGTGTTAGATTATAATGTTCTCAATTGTTGGATAGACCTACGGAGCATTATCCTGCCAAGGCTAACACTAATGTGCTACCAAGTTGATTGGGGTGGCTTGTCTCAACTACCATGGTGAGACCTGAACCACATGTAGTGTGGGTTTCCTTGAAACCCTGAACCGGACCAAATTTCTAGTTATGCCCTAGATCATGGAGATAGATTGGCAAAACTAGAAAGTTACACCTAACCCCTAGACTCGATTATGGTACTGCACTAGGTGCTAGATTAGGTTGTCTTTGATATACCAACTAGTGAGATTCTTAGAGGGGGTTAAAACCTGAGTATGTTGGGGCAGTCTGAGAATTCATCTGAGTGGGTGACCATAGTGGCAGAATCAGCCCCTTTGTCGGACAAAGTGAATGATCGGGTATAGCACTCTCTCTGATGGAAACCTAAACTACCAATACTTGATTTCAAACTTGTTGAGATTTGTTTTGCAAAATATATTTATAGAGAGATATGCATATATATAATGGTTTCACAAAATGTTTGCAAAACATTTTAATTCCCGGGATCCATGTGAGAAGAGAGTGCAACTCTATACCTTGTAGTCGAGGGAGAGGTCATCTCTTGTCGGGCAGTGTTTGATCATTATGGGCTGAGAGGTTAAGTGTAAGACCACTTASGGCTTTTACCTGATGGGCTAATCTCACTTAAGACCAT